CAAATGACGTCCAGCTTCCCCCTCTCTGAATGTCATGGGTTGAGCATGACTTCAGCTCCACTTCTTGGATCTAATGGGTGGAAGGATGGAGTTATGGGTAGGGTTAGGGTGTGGTTGGACCTTTTAGCTCCACCCATTACACCCAAATTACAGGGGAAGCTGGACGTCCAGTCTCTCAATCAAAATTTAAAATGCCTCCCTCTAGTGCTCACAGCGGTCATATCAGCAAGCATCACACTATGTAAATACACACATTCAAACATTTGTCGGAAAATGTACTAAGCACAAAGTTGACTTTTGTATGCATTTTGTGCTTATCAATTGTCAACACATTAATATGAAACCTAGCACATTATGAAATCAAATGTGTGGGCTTTCGTCCATGTGTATCACTTTCATCATAGGGTTGGACAATGAAATTGTAACACCTGATTTTAGACAACAATATTTTTTTATTATGGTGTATAGGGCCTCCTTTTGTGGCCTATACAGCATCAATTCGTCTTGGGAATGACAGACACAGGTCCTGCCGAGTGGGATTTTGAGCCATTCCTCTTCCAGATCAGTGTCCAGGTCACTATGTGATGCTGGTGGAGGAAAATGATTTCTGACTTGCTCCTCCAAACTACTCCAAAGTGGCTCAAAAATATTAAGATCTGGTGACTGTGCAGGCCATGGGAGATTCAGCTTCACTTTCATGTTCATAAAACCACTGTCACAAGTCTTGCTGTGTGTTTTGGTGCATTATCATGCTGATACATGGCACCCCCTTCAGGGAACAATGTTTGAACCATTAGGTGCACATGGTCTTACAGAATGGTTCGGTAGTCCTTGGCAGTGACGCACACATCAAGCACAGTAGGGCATGCCATGATATTTCAGCCCAAACCATAACTAATCCACCCCCGTGCTTCACTCTGGGCAGAAACAGTCCGGGTGCTACGCCTCTTTGGGGTTTCTACACACCGTAACTCCCACGGATGTGAGAAAGACGGTGAAGGTCCACAGCCCAAGATTTGAACTGTTGAAACCAATGAAACTGCTCCAATGAAACCAACATTTGGCATTGGCACGAGTGCCCAAAGTTTTGACTATAGCAGCCCGACCATGAATATTGACTCTGTGGAGCTCCTGACAAACAGTTTTGGTGGAAACAGGAAAGTCGAGGTAATTCTGCAGTGAGTTGGGCAGTTGTGGTTTTATATTTTTTGGATACAATCTGGGTTAGTACCAGGACATCCCTTTCAGACAGCTTCCTCTTGCGTCAACAGTTACTCCTGTTGGATGTGGTCCGTCCTACATGGTGGTTTGCCGACGTTACCCTGGACACCATTTAGCACTCGATACACCACAAAGACTTGCTGTCCTGGTCACAGATGAGCCAGCGAGACACACACCAACAATTTGTCCTCTTTCGAACTCTCTCTTATTATGTTGTGTGGATTGCAATATTTTATGTGCAGCTGTGCCATTGCTCTGCTAATTCAACATTCACACTCTGCTCTTACTGATGGAGTGTAAAATCAGTGAAGAATGAAGATTGGCCACTTGGCTGCACATAAATAGACATTAAATCTCCAACAATATATGTGTTTCATTGTCCAACCCATGTATGCTACATCTATGTGTGTGCTTCTATGTATATTTTACAGTAATACTGTAATTTCTCTGGATGTTTACAGTACTCTTTTACATTTACAGTACTTGGGTGTTGTTAAACAAGTGCTTTTTGACAGAAATGTCTTGAATGTTGAAACCGGTGTAAGTCAATGTTTTATTCAACAGAGGGCAAAAACAAGATTGTTGCATGATAAAATAGGCAAAAAGTGTACATCTTCGTCACCCCAGACTGACAGCCCCACCTATTGGTCGAAAGTCATAAGCAATTAAATCTTATTACAAGAGATTGTATCTATGATTTTTTAAAAACCATTTTACCTGAAATAATCTACAAATGTATTTAATCACAAATGTTGCAGTTAGTGTGCCTGGCTGGCCCCGATAAGTGCGGCTATATTTCTTTTGGCTTTTTGGCTCCTGCGGCATTATTGGATTATAAGCTTTTATTTCTAAGTTGCAACAGAAGGGAAATGATCTAATGGCGACATCTTGTGGTCACTCTTCACAGGACAGCGCAAAGTCCAGGTCTAAAATGTATACTGCTGTTGAAATTTTTGATGATTTTATCATATTAAGATATATAGATTAGAAGAGAGTATACAACATTCCCCAGAAGAAAATAATGAGTTTGTTAATGATGACAGTGGGTAAATAAAGACAGAATGCTCTTTTTTAAAATGAATTTAATTCACAGGTTATAATGAATTTCTGCTGTGTTATGTATAAACCGTTTTCTGTTGCTTTACAGAACCTCTTTATGACAAACAACATGACACTTTCTGTATCTTGCCTCCATTAAAGAGTATTCTGATTTATGCTGTATTTACAGAAGAAAAATGCAATAAACTCATCAAAAATGACAGTAAAGGCATTTATAATCTAGAATATATTTCAAATGATTTATATTCATCAAAGATTCATCTAAAAATTTCACAAAAAGACATGTTTCTTGAGCACCAAATCAGTTTATTAAAATAATTTCCGAAGGATCATGTGACACTGAAGACTGGAGTAATTATGGAGGAAATATGGCTTTGCCAATACAATAATAAATTACATTTTAAATATAAAAAGTTTTTTTTGAATTGTAATAATATTTCACAGTTTGACTGTTTTTACTTTGTTTTTGATCAAATTAATGCAGCCTTGGTGAGTATTAGATACTTATTTCAAAAACATAAATAATAATAATATTTTACCAACCTGTGTCCAGCATATTCATAGTGACTTTTGAACTGAAGGACATGCTTTAAAAATTACATAAATAATTTAAGTTGAACTTAACTGAGTTCCAAAAGTTCCTTCAAAAGACGGACAACATAAGCTGCCATGCACTATTCCACTGTATCCTTCCACACAAATCTGAAACATTCCCAAAATGCCACAAAAACAGGTTCTTCAAAAGATTTGCGTAGGCAAACTATATGTTCACCTCCATGTGTTCTTTTATTCAGTCTCTCATGATGTTCTTGCTCCTGGCACAGAAATTGCTGATGTCTCAAATACAACTTTCTCAAATATGATTGGGATGTTTAAGTCCTACAAAACTTGGGGAGGAGAGATGGGTGGTGATGCCTCCTGTGGACAAACAGAGAAAAGACACATGAGAAGTTTACAGAGCAGCTATAAGATTATGTTCAAATAAAAGATGAACCTCGCACCCTTGTCAAAACCATTTAAGCAATTTTACCTCAACAAAGACTTCGCTGTGTAGAATCCAAGATCTTTTCCAAAAGTAAAATATTTTTGTACCATTTGCCAGATCTCCAATAGTCCTGAAGCACCCATGTCATCTCCATCATATATCATACTTCCAACAGCAATTGCAACATGTTGCAGCAGAATATTTAACAAGATTTAACTTTGGGCTAAGTCAAACATGGCAGTGCATCAGTTTTGGCACAGAAAATCCTGTTCTTCACCTTGTTTTTATTAATTAAATACTAAACACTGTAAAAAAAATATTGTTGTGATTACCAAAACTTAAAATTCAACATTAGAATAAGAAATAATGTGTTGTTTCAACTTAAAAAAGTATGTTCATGCTTGACTTAAAATATTAAGTTAAGTTTAGTTAAGTAGGATATTTAAGTTATCTCAACCAATTTTAAGTTGTTATAACTAACTGTAGCAAAATTTTTTACAGCGAGTTCAACCTTTTGTATTTAAATGTGTTTAACATAACCGTTGACAGCAGACATGAGTAATCATAAAATTCTACTACATTTATTCATAACACATCATTTTCATCTAGTTTCAGGGGTTGAAACCATTCAGAATCTTAATTTAAAATACATTAGAGGTGGACGAAAATACTTATTTTCTTAAAGACACAGTCATCAAAACTTAATTTTAACTTATTCTTAAAGCTGCAGTCCGTAGTTTTTTTCTCTTTGTCACCATCTCTGTTCAAAATCTGCAATTGCAGTTATTCGCGGAATGATCAACTTTACGTGGGTTGTGTCTCGGCACGGCACAGCGCGGATGAATCCAATGTTTTGAGGAGAATGTGTGACTGTCAGTCACCGCGCCGGTGTGGATACTGTCATTCAGAATCACAGGTTCTACTTTTTGGAAGTATGACCAACATAATAATTTTGCCCGGAAAATGTCATCTGAACAAGTAAGTAACATCCACTTTTTTTCTGACCAACTAAGGGAAAAAAAAGGATTGCAGTAAAACGCGCTGATCAAATCTAACGATCGCTTATCATATCACGTCAAACCATGCAAATTATACTTTGTTCTCAAATTGTTAATGTTAACAACATCAGCATTGCGTGACTACATTTAAAGCCCTTCATATGTATCCTTGTTTTCGCATGGGTCCAGTCTCTTTTTTTCTGTAGCCACTCCGAAGTTCGAAGTCTTTTGCATTTTACAACAGTTGTCACTGGGTGATTGTCGTTTGAACCTTTCTGGATCCGCCATCAAATTAATAATTTTAATTATATCGAGTGCTGTGAGAAAAGGCTATAAATCTCCACCTCCAACATCCTCACACGCAATATAATCCTTCTAGCCGAGACACCTTTATGTGTTTTGGGTAATTTTTAACCCAAAAAAGTTACGTACTGGAGCTTTAACTAAGGCTGAACATATGCACAATATTTCTTTACCACTCCATCATTTTGTCATTAAGTAAAAACAAAAATTGTGCTCAACCAACTTAAAAAGTAAACCCTTTAAAACAATGACATTTCAGTCAACTTCAAAGCCTTCATCAGACATGCTTGTTTTCTAGAGTTTGAACACAAATATGTATGTCCTTCTTAATGCTGTTTCTTGATATATTCCCCTTGGAACCTTTTCCATAGGTTTAAATTTGTTTGGCTTTTTTAAATGAAAGCAACTTGTTCAAATAGTTTAAATAAAATGAGTCAGGCATGTGATTCATCCGAGTCCTCCGTTTGCAAACCGATGGTCTTCATGTGGTCTATTGTAAACGGGTTTTGCCCATGTTTGTAACAGTGCCTTAAATCATTTGGCTCTTCGTCTGGCGTGTCTTCATCATTGCTGCTGTAAATAACAGAGGCCATGTTTTTGTATGGATCATTGTCATCTTCATCATCCTCATTAGTATTGCCATGAGTGATGATGCATTCCTCTCTAGGTTCTACAGAAGGATTTGGACAACAAACATCCTCCTTTTCTGCAGGATTCTCCACTAAAGTGAAAGTTTCCAGCTGTACAACAGGCATCAAAATATCCGCTCTGGTCTCTATTTGATTACATACAACCGCAATTTGTCCTTCTTCGTTTTTTGGCAAACTGTCCTCCGCCATTCCTTCTCCGTCTTTAAAAGAGACTGATTTTGCAAATGCTTTCCCATTGGTCAGAGCTGAAGATTTGATGTTTACGGGTGTTTTTTCTGGAAGCACCCGGATTGGCGGCATGTCTTGCAGTGGCACAGGTCTGTCAGACTCAAACGTCCTGGTCGCCGGAGGGAGCGAGTCATCTATTTTGGTGTACAAACCACTGGAGTATTCATAGTCAATGAACGCCTCGTTGTGGTAGGAGGCATCCTCTATAAGCGATATGGGACGTCCTGAATTGACCTGTTGACCACGGAGAAAGGGCATTTAGGGTCTCCTCGAACAACCTTAACATATCCACAGGTCAAATCCACTGCTGAGGTCCAGCGCTGATTACAGAGCAGGTATGTGTGTCACTGATTCTTGAAGACATGGGACAATATTGAAATATTTTTAATCTACAAAAAAATTCTACAAGTGCTTTAGGGGTAGATCAGTGATAATATAAGCTTAATGTTGATCAAGTAAACAGTAAATGAAGATGAAATGCTATAGGACATTGTAGAGATCATCTTTGATATCAACTAAAGTGTGGGTTTTGTAGTCTCATCTCCCAAGAATCAGAATCAGTCTAAATCAATAAACATAATTAACAATTACTACAACATTTTCAACAGTGTTTATCCAACTTGAAGATGTAATACAAATTCACAAACACAAATACGAAACGCCTATCTACGTGATATCAGACCTATTACACAGTGAAATATACCAAACCATCAGACACAGGGGGCTGTGCTTCGTATACCGACCAGCTTAAATGGTGCACCATTTATGAGAAATTGTAACACTGTCAATCCCATTTAAACCAGCCTATCAGGAGTATACGGCTTTCAGTTTCTCAGAAAACACATCTCACCTTCACAAGGGACAGTGACACTGCAGAACACGTCTAGCTACTTAATGTCAGGTACTTACCTGCTGAAACCATCTTAAGCTCTACATAAGAGGAATTAAAGAGGAACGTGAGGCAAAGACGACAAGGGCAGGAGATGTTTCTTAATGTTTGACTGTGTGAATGATCATCATTGAAATCATTTCTGAAGTGTTTCATCTCTTTTTTTCTACCTCCAACTAAAACCCAATATATTTTTACTCAAAGCTATGTTATTGTTTGAAATGGAGTTGATTTAATATGAGGCATTTACTTGTTTAGTGCAAAAGTCTGGCTTGAACTGTAGCAGGTCAAGTAAGGTCGAGTACAGTTTGTAAGTCTATGTACATAGGCAGAGGGTGAACCAACTCCAGGGTAAGGCTAATGAGATTTAGAACACATTTACATAGATTTCCAGGAAATAGTTTCAAGTTACGTGTCGCCGCACAACACATCCCAGCATAAATGCTCACGCTAAGTTATTTTGTTATTAAAGCTTCTACTTTCACAAACCACTGTTCATTTTAACAGAACAGCAAGCATACTGTATGTGGGATTTGGCATCTAAACACTAAAAAACTGTCTCTCAGTTTAGTTAATCGTGATCTCACAAAGTTCCGTTATAATCAATGAAACCGACTGCACAGCTAATCTCTTATGTATATAATGTCTTCACTTTGTTTGTTATAATGAGAGGATTCACTAGCGTGCAGAACTCAGCACTGGACAAAAACTCCAGCGTTTTGAGTGGTGAGTGGATTTTAACTGAAACGCGTCTGATTGGCCATTGCGTTCAAGAAATCAACAGATATGTTTTTGATTGGCTACATTGCTCAACGCTGCAAAAACACGTTGTAAATAGAAACCTTTGATGTTCTCCAGAGGGCAAACACAAACACACTGGATCGTTAGCCAAATCTGTTTCACCAATATGCTGCTAAAACTGATCCTAGACCAGCAGTTAAGAGCAACCAGCAGTTAAATGAATGGGATAAATCACAGTGCTCAGTTCAGTTAAAACAGCCAATTGTCTTATTGTTAAATGTAGCATCTCGTCTTAGTCGTTGGGCTTCCATCAATGTACTTTCATTCGCATACTGAATACAAAATACTGGTTTGAAACATCAGTATGTGGGGGAAAAAAATCGTATACATTCGCTTGAGGTGGATACATTTATAATTAAAAGCGCAACCTATATGTAGCTCAAAGATAAAGGCATCACAAACATAAGGCATCTGTTGTTTTGTCTGCATGCTAAAATGTCTTCTGTTGTAATATTTCAGTTGATGTTTTGTGCCAAATTCTCCATAAACTACTTTTTTGTGAACACATTGGGTGGAATCACTGATTGAAACCGTTTTAGAGGTTTCACTTTTTACCCTTTCAAGCAAGGAGCAGAACTTATTGCCTAGATACTGTAGAAAATTGCTATGATGGTGTAGCAAAGATGGCCGCCAAATGGACTGACGTGCCTCAAAGGGGCTAAACTAAAGTGTGCATGGTATGTAAAAAAAAATAAAGTGTTTGATATATAATGTCATGTTTGATATAACAAATTAACTCTTACCACATTTGGGTGCTTCCCTAGGGCTACTGAGCCCCTGTCTTCCGGATCCCGTCTCTCTCTTCGTCTCTTGACCAGCCAGAGGCAAATAAATAGTGTTGTCACAGCCACTATGAGAACAAAAGCAGCAATGCCGCCGGCCATCCCTGCGTTCATATCTGCAAACAGCCGTTCTTCTCCAAATGGACTTCTAGGAACTGTCCGGGAGAGGGGGAAGATCTATGATTACTCACAAAACCTTGTTCTTCTGTGTAAAACAGTTCTGTGTCTTTACACCTCTAAGTGATTTATCATTTAGTTTGAACGACTGCCAAAAGTAGGGCAGTGATCTAATAAATCGAATTTAACACCTTATTCATCCCTCTTAAAAATCAACCATGAATAATCAAATTAACCAGATTAATGATCTATGTGAATTATCATTCATACGGTTTAACCCTCTTTGGTATGGTCGCATTTTAAAGACACATGCTGAACAATTGCATCCCAAATTAAACACATTTCTTCTACATCTGGATTTTTTTTTTCTTTGATAAGTTCATTCAATGTTTTTAGTTTTATTTGACATAGTTTAGAGGCACATTTTATGTTTCTGCAGTTATTATTAGAAAATGTCCATAGTAAAGCAATTGTGTTAATGAAAAAACAACACTGTTATGGTTTTCTGAAAATATGAACACAAATAGCAAAGAAGAATGCATGAAGGACTTTAAAAATTAGCATGAATTCAACTTTAGAGCAATTTAAAAGATCAATTATAATGATTCATGCTATTTCAATTTATAGGAGTTGTATCGGTAACGCTTCCTTTTACAGTCCTATTACCCATGTACTTACTACTTATTATAGTAACTATAATTACTGGGTAATAACTAGGTACTAACCCTGAACCTACCCCTAAACCTACCCCTAACCCATGTACTTACCTTATATTAGCCAGTACTTTAGGTAAGTACACTGTAAGTACACGTAAGTACTGTACTGTAAAAGGAAGCGTTACAACAACAAGGAAGACCTTGTTGTTGTGTTCTTGTTCTTGTTGTTTTCATATCACAATATTTGATTATTTTATTTTTTATTTTGTTAAACATAAATTATACAGATGGTTAAGGGAATTTACCTGGAAGTCCCCTCTGTAAAACCTCAATGTCCACTGAAGTGTGCGCAGCCTCACCTGACTCTTCGTCTGTTGCGATCACCTGTGAAAAAATTCATGACAAATGTAATCCTGTCAGAGTCCATGTGTTATTGCTGTTTTGCACACATTTGTAGCTATTTCTATGCAAAATCTAGCAGCTTTGTACATGGTTAAGGCACAAGTAAGTCATTAAGTCACAGTCAAGTTGTATCGGTCACAGTCACAGTCAAGACTGTCACCTCTAGGATGTGTCGGTCGAACGCTCTGAGCCGGTCCGTCTTTGCGATCACAATGCCATCCTGAGTTATGTGATACAGTTTAATGCTACCCAAGGGTTGCATTGTGTAACGGATTTTGGGGTTTATTCCCTGCAAGACAGAAAATTCTCTAAATAAGGGTTTGCAGACCATTTTTCTAAAGTTTTTTCTATGAAGGAAATGTTTTCAGTCTACATCTCTGAAGTCCCTGTCGATGGTCTGGACCACTAGGACTTGGTTCCCATAAGTAGTGACCAGAGTAGCAGGGCTGGAGCTCTCGATGAGGAACCCTTTGTAGACGGTCTTGTTGAAGATCGGAGGAAACTGGTTCTCCGACACCACGTGCACCAGTGCCGTCGCCATCGAATATTTCTTTGGGTCATTCACCTGGGCAGCCTGTTGGAGTTTGCAAAGGGCAATTATGATGTCATCATTGTGTCACATAACCCACACATTTATGTTGAATGCAATGTTATTGCATTTCTTCATATGAAGAATCCCCGTTATGGTTTGCCATATGGCAGTTGAAGCTCTTCCATCAGACCAGAGTGTTAAACCAGCCATCACTTTGTTGTTCATAAACATTATTACGTACCATTATGCGGAGCCTGAATGAAGGGGTAAGGAGTCTGTTTTCCACACGTTGCCTGAGAGAGATCTCTCCTGTTTTCGGGTCGATTGTAAATCTGCCATTATCATCACCTATAAAGTCATTTTGAGTAACGTTTAAAAGCTATAATATAGATTTAAAGGGTTAAACAGTTAATAAACCAATGCAACACAAAGTAAACTCGCCTGACAGAATAGTGTAGACCAGAGGGGTAAGTATGTCTTTGTCTCCATCTTCAGCATGAATGGGACCCGGAGAAAAATAAAGCACAGCATCCTAGATCATAAAGAGCATAAAAATTAGGCTCAGCTCAGTTCTGTTTTCTAATATTATAGGGATCTGAAAAACCTCTAATCTGTACACTGCCACCACACACACACCTCATCTGTTTCTGTGATGTTGACGCTGTACACAGGGTTGGTGCAGATATTATGATCTCCATCTTCATAAACAGGTGCGCACGGCTGAAACTGTGGATACTGGTCATCACCGTCTAGAACATTCACGGTGACCGTAGCCGTTGTGCTGTACTTTTCTTTTGTGGTCATTTCCTGTTGATTTCAACAGCAACAGCAAGACACCGTTCTTCCTTCATTCTGATTCCATTTGAGCACATCATATGTGAACTGTTAAGTGTTTCACATACCACAGCATATATGACCACATGCAGTTGGGTTTTAGTCTCATAGTCCAAAGGTTTATCCAGGATCACCATCCCGCTGTTGGGCAGATCGATCCTAAAATAGCTGGCATCAGCCTGAATGAGAGAGACACACAGTGCTGGTAATGTTTTCTTAGATTGTGGAAAGGAAGAAGGTGGTTTTCTCTCTGTATAGAGCAGGTTACATAATAAAGAGCCATGAGGGGTAGTCAATGCAGACAGAATGAGGCTTCTCCTTTAATTCAGCCTTTCATATGTGATTTTGTTCCTATCGAATGTGCCACTCACTGTAGATTTGTCGGTCATATAAGTGATCGTGTCTCCATCGCCGTCTCTGGCTTTCACTGTGAACACCATCGAGTTCACAGTCAGCAACTGTGGGAAGAGAGTCAGAATTCTAAGATTTAATGACTGAAAAAGTTAATTTAATCGCAAAAATAATTCAAGTAAAATCGGGAGCAAAACATTAGTTTACCTCACTTATATATCGTGGTTGAATAGTGTCTTCAAGGAAATATGGCATGTTGTCATTTTCATTCAATATCTCCACCATGATTCGATACCGACTCTGAAATAAGAACATCTGGGTTAATTGCTCTCCAGTATCATTAATCATTATCATTATTTTTGCAGTGTAACATACCCTTATTATTCCATCTTCATAACATGTCAAAGCAGCTATCAGCACTGATCCCAGCACCTGTAAATTACCACAAAAGAATTAGGTCACACAGGGAGGTTAGTATTTATATAGTCATATAAGTAATATTAATAATAAATTATAGACTTCTAAACTATGGCTTCAAACGCCTCCAATGTGTTGGCTGGCTGTTTTAAAGTCCTAAAGCTTCATTGTTATTCTGGCTTTCCTCCTATTCATGTTAATCACCTCTCGATCCAAGGTCTTGGAAAACGAAGTGTTGAGTCGGATTGTTCGGCCTTCAAGATAAAACCAGTCGGAGTTTTCTCCAGTGAGACACAGACGGATGCTGCTGGCTCCAGGGTCTCCGTTGATATTGAGGTTGGATATGAACTCTCCAGTGGGACTGTTCTCTTGAACCGTGGCAAATATATCTTGACCACCAAGGCATAAACTGGCTGCAGTTCAGATGAGAGATTGATTAGATTATGAGGACAACATAAATCATCCATAAAATCACTGATTGCACAGCTAATTTATAACACAACATCTTTATAATAGGGAGAGCAGGGATAATTGTAACAAGTATTGGATTTTTCCCAAATATTCATGCATCACGGTTGTTCTCAAGCGCAAACACTAGGGACGGGATGTACTATACATCAATAAAACACATTTTACTTCACTTTTCAGTCACTTTTATTTCAATGCCATGTGGATATATTATCTTTAATTCAAGCTTTAAGGGGAGGAAAACTGGAAACCTGTTTTAAACTTCAATTTTAACTTTATTTTAACTCGCAATTTATACTTTTTTCCTCAGAACTACGAGTTTGTAGCACACAATTATGTATTTATTTCTCGCAAGTTTAGCTTATATACAAAATTTGAGTTAACAGACTTTTTTTCTCAAAATTGCGAGTTTGTAACAAATTTTTACTTATTACAATTCCAAGTTTAGCCTTAATTTGCATTTTTTAGTTAACATCTCACAGTTCCGAGCTTTTTCATAGAATTGCAAGTTTATAACAAATTTCTGGCTTTATTTGTTGCAATTCCAAGTTTAGCCTTTATATCGCAATTTTGAGTTTCGCAATTCAGACAGGCAAGGTAACATCGCATTTTTGACTTTTTGTGAGTTTGCATATTTTGTTCAAGAAATGTTTTGGTGCATTTCATTTAATATTCATATTAATGCATTACTCAACATTACTCGTTACACTCATGTGACATTCTAATGAATAGTAGCAAATGAAACAATCGTTTATACTGTAGAAAACAGAGCTATAGACTGTCCAGATCATTTGGTCATAGAATAATTTAATAAGAAATGTTTGAGTTCATAATAAAATCTTTTGATTGCAAACTTTGGCATCTTAGCGAATTTGCAAAGTCAGTGTGGCATAGAAATGGACCATATTTACTTTCTTAATACATGTGAATGATTCATTTATGCATAATATTTGAAAGAAAATTTGTTGATCAAAATATAATTAACAACTTGTTCCACTTCTGAAATGTCTTACTTTTTACAGGTAATGACCCTAAGCCCTATTATTTTTTTACCTCTCACCTTCCGAAACATAAAATAACGAATGGAACACTCTACGATCTTTTAAACTTCACACATGCACACATGAGAAGGCCATGAAATTGATTGGGGTTCTTGCACGACAATGGGGAAACAATCAATTCTAATGAATAAAATCATATCCCGTCCTACATTTTTTTGTTGTCAAATAACCTATCCTGAAATTTGCCATGTTAAATAAGTAAAATGGGTATCAAACACAGTTTCAATTTTACTTAAAGCAAGAGACTCTTTCTTAAATCTAATTTCTGTCAAGAAAAAAAAACTATTCAGATATTAAAATGAATCTCACTTGTGACTTTTCATTTCGACAGGTTGAGAGAATCAGAACTCTCAATACTAGAAATGAGTCATTCAGAGACTCATTATCATTTCCATTGGCCTCATAACCATTTCTGGCACATATGTTAACATTCACTGTATCACAGAGCAGGGATTGGTGAAAATTAGCCTCCGTCGTTGCAGATCCTGATTTCAGAGAGGTGTTTACCTTTTGCGATGTGATAGAAAATGTTCAGTGCCATCTGGCAGAGGAACAATCTCCATGGCGTCAACATAGTTGATATTCCCCTGGGCTCACGTCTCCTTCTCCCAGCTGTAAAAGAAATGCCAATCCCTGACAGTCAATTGCTCTGAAGGATTTGGATTGCTCATGTTACCTGTCACAAAGAGCAGACTTTCTTATTCAAACCAAAGGTCAATTAAATCAGAAGATTAACAAAGCATATTTATACTGTCGCGCCACCATCTGAAATTCATCAGTCGAGTTACTCAAGTGAGTCAAATCAAACTGCTAAATGAATTAGTGGAACCTCATCAGTCTCTCACCAATAGAGTGTTTGTTTACTTCTGTTTGGGCTTTAGTCGTGTTTAGGCTTCACCTCAGCATACTTGAAACCTCTTATGAAGTCTTTAGCCAGTGTCAAGCCACCAGCCTGCCAGTGATGTCGGTTACCTGACCTCCAGGCCGCTCTACTGATCCTCCACCTTCCACCTCGACGCACCTCCGTATGAGAGCTTTTTTCCAAATCCTCACATAATACCTGCAAAGCTGCCTAAGAACTGTTGTTTCCCATTTAAGTTTTGCTGCCTGGTCATGCAGGACGAAACCAATCCAAACATTTATTTGTTGTTTTTCCATGCATAAGGATTACATTATTTCCGTCCGGTCGCATTTTGTACACCACAATACATAATTACAATTTATTAATTAATTTATATTACAATAAATAATTTCCTGTTCAATTACAGATAATTTTGTTGGATTTATTAGGATAGTTCATGCCTCATATTTGTTAATATTTAACTTACAATTTTAAAACTTGTATGCTGTATTTATTTATTTTTATTTTTTTTTGCACAAAAACAGATTTAGCTGTTTTCTATACAAGAAAATAAATAACAGCATGAGGGTTAGTGAATAATTACAATTGGGTGATTTTTGGGTGAATTATTCCTTTACAGTTTATTCATCACATGACCACTAGGGGACACCATCACTATCACTTGCCTTAAATCAGTAAGATTGTAATGGCGGTCCTTTAGACTGTGTATTGTAATGTAAAAAAAAAAAAAAAAAAAACCTTAGCATGAGGTAATCTTATTCTGATCTTTCCTAAGGTGAGGTTCACAGTTGAGCAGGCTTATTGTGGTTGAACTGGCTGTGGCTGTGGATAATACCACTGGGAAATAAGTAATGATGTCATTCAGTATGTAGGCTACATACCGTTCAGTTGTGGTAAGTTTTAAAGTCCTGGTACTGGTTGGTTGTGGTAAGAATTGGTTTGGGTTTTTCAAAGACATCTCTTATGCTCTCCAAGGCTGATCAAAAATATAGTAAAACAGTTAAATTGTGAAATATTATAAGTTTAAAATAACTGTTTTCAGCATCATTACTCCAGTCTTCAGTGTCACATGCTCCTTCTGAATTCATGATACTGATGCGCTGCTTAAGAAACATTTATTATTATTATCAATGTAGAAATCTGTTGGGCTGCTTAATACTTTTATTGAACCTTGAAACTTTTTTTCAGGATTCCTTAATGAATAGGAAGTTCAAAAATGTCTTTACTGTCACATTTGATCAATTTAAAGGGATAGTTCACCCAAACAAGAAAATGATGTCATCATTTACACACCCTCAAGTTGTTCCAAACCTGAATGAATTTCTTTCTTAGATATTTTGAAGAATGTTTTAGTAAATGATGACAGAATTTAACTTTTTGGGTGAACTATGCCTTTAATACATCCTTTAAATTAATTCTTTAAAAAAAAAAAATCCCAAACTTTCCGATGGTATCATAATCATTAGATTATTATTTTTTCAAGGACCCATTGGTGGACAGTGTCGGCCCAGAGACCCCTTGTTACATTACATTAACAGACCCTTTTATCCAATTTCAAATTTCAATAGACTCTGATAGCCTATAAATACTGTATATTAACCTATAATAACATGCACATTATATCATAACAATGTATTTACTGTACATTCTTTATTATGCTATTATTCTTTATATATTGCAAAGCCATTAAAATAATTAGTGATGTACAGAATCATATACTTGCACATTACATTTTAATTTTACTTTAATGTGGGAAGTTTAACGTCTTAATATTGGCATTGGTTGAATTTCTTCATTAGAATTGATCAGAGATATACAATAATTGGCAATTATCCACTGCTTATCATATCTCCAGCCAAGTCCTTAATAAGACTAAGAGCACATTTAAGCAAAATGTAATTTATAATTTAGTAGTTTAAATGCGACCGGGCTTGTTTAAAGAGTCTATTAATTAATACATCATGTTTCAGGGGAACAAACTGATTAAAATATGTCATAAATTAATCCTGAATCAACAAGTCTTGCTAGACATGTTAACTCCTGTGAACTCCTCCTTATTGTGCAGCCAAGCCAGATGTTATAAATGATTGTTTGGATACAGGATGACTGTGTGGATTGCATGTGATTAGGGATTAAATCGAGTAATTAATGCGAAACAGGAAGTAGGTCTCTGCCACAACCAAGATTATGGGATTACAGCACAATATGGTTTAATATTCTTGCTGTACACGGCGGCTTGCTATTTATTATGCATGTTTCTGTGCGTCTGAGTTTGTCTGCAAGTGTTGCTGGAGACCACTTGCCAAATGGGTTTTAGCAGAAGTATATGCAAAATTAGCGAAGCCGCTGTATTGTGTGTTTTTGATTTGATTAGTCTAATCTTACATTTGAGAGTACTCATCTGCAGAGATGATAGTGCACTCAACAGGGATTGTGAAAGTGTTATTATTCTTAAATATTATTTATAGGAACAGTTCACCCAATAATTCAAATTAACCAAAGAGTTGATGGGCCCCATTGACTTCCATCATATAAATAAATACTATGGAAATCAGTGGGGTCCATCAACTTTTTGGTTACTGACATTCTTCAAAATATCTTCTTTTGTGTTCAGCAGAAGAACAAAATTCATACAGGTTTGGAACAACTTGAGGGTGAGTAAATGATGACAGAATTTTTGGGTGAACTAACCCTTTAAGAATGTACAATATGTATATGTATGTACTATTACTGTTTTAACTGTTTTTTTTATCAAATAAATGCAGCCTTGGTTTGCAGAAGAGACTTTGCCAGAGAGTAAACATTTATTAAGCAAGACTATAGTCTATAGTATATCACCATATAATTTTGGATGAAAAATGTAAAAAATATTAAAGTAAAGTATTGTAAAGTAAAATTGATTTAAATAGTAGAAATAAATAATACCATTTAACAATGTAGGGTGCAAATAGCAATGTAGTGTAAAAAGTACATTTTAGAAGTTCAAGTAAGCTGGTGTCTATCTTTTTGTTACTGTAAAAAAGTATTTTTTTGTAAATAAAACAACTTGCGAAAACTGTTTCAAAGTAAATCCAACACCATTTTTTCAATGCTTAACATTGTTTTGTAGGTAAATCTGTGGAAACACACCAATAAAGACTACAGAGAGAGACCGGCGACTTCTAAATATGCCGGTTCAGCTACCAGCATGTTTAGAAGCATAATGATTCATGCGGTCTCCTTAGATGAGACCATCAGACTCATTAGAGTAGCGTTGGAAATGGACTCAAGCATAGCGAGACGATTAGCATGAAGCATGGCCAGTCGGTAAACCTGACTTTCTGATACAGATCACTTAATAAAATTTAAAACATAAAGGGCGAAGACAAATGCAATGTTCTCGTCAAAGTCACAAAGTCACAAAACCATTTATCTGTATTCCTGTCATGTTTATAAGATCAGGCCCAAGCTATGCTGACTGGATGCTTCGGTAATCAGATTGCTTTGAGGCTGATCTAGAGGTCACTGAACATCTATACAGCTGTCTATCACTACAGCTGGAATAAAGTACGCTTTTCTTTGCATCAAACATTCACTTAATCACAAAAACTGGTATAAACGGGACAGTTTACAAAACCCAGGCATCTACGGCAAGCTGGTAAAGTGCTTTCACTGCAGTCATAACAAGAAAGCAACAGTTGTCAATGTCCTGTGAAGTGTAAACAATACAATCACACACTAAACCAAACACACACACTTAGACTCCCTGAGTATTTCCTCACCGTTGTTTGGAGGTGGTTATCCTTTGTTTTCGAGCTCAGGGGATCCTGCTGTCACTTCCTGCGGTGGCTGGTCCTGTCCTTCGCCACATGACTGTCCCGTGCGGGGGTCTGAAACCTGCACCACAGGGAACAGCAGGTAGCAGTGCAAAACACAACAGATTTCTCTGGCTAGTTAAGTCAGGGCTGCTCAGATAGAGAGAGAGAGAGAGAGAGAGAGAGAGAGAGAGAGAGAGAGAGAGAGAGAGAGAGAGAGAGAGAGAGAGAGAGAGAGAGAGAGAGAGGGGGGGGGGGGGGTCACAATGTGTTTAGCTTGAGGGAATTAAGAGCTCTCGCACACAGCAGAGCGAGGGCTTAGACAGCATTTCCAGGACAGGATAACTCTGGCTGCTGAGAGAGAGGTTAAACTGAGAACATTAGCTTGGGCGCCGATGCTAATGCAGTCCAAGGTGTGCAAACCCTGCTAGCATGTCATTACACATGATCTGCTGCTTCATGATGTAGAATTCAACTTGAGAACTCATCGGCCTGCATGCTTGCTGTCAGTTTGAGTATCTGTGGGGTCAAAAGGGTCACAAGTGCTGTAGAGCAGGTGTATGTGTGGTGGGTGAATCTCATGAAAATTTCTCTAGTTCTCTAGTTTGTCATTTTCATTAAGCACGTTTTTACCCTGAATTCTCATTTTCCCCCATCTTTTTATTGATTCTCAGACACTTCTCAGAAAACAACACAATAAATCTGTACAGAATTAACATTTTTACACCATTAGCAATTAATTAGGTTACACTTTATTTTAAAGTGTCAGTGTAAGTGTCATTCTGCATTTAATTACTGTGTAATAATAATTAACTACATGTTCTTACTATTGTAAAACATTATATGATCAATAATTTATGACAACATGTTTTTATATTGCTTAAACTCATCAAAATAAGTTAAGCAATTTTCAACTTTTTGTCATAAGTTATACAATATTCAACTCAATTTAAGTTGAAATGACTTAAACATCCAAGTTGATTGGACAGCACCTTTTTTTTTTAAGTGTTGGGTTATGGTTAGGATTGGGGTTAGTTGCATGTAATTATGGATAATTGATAGTTATTACTATAGTAACTACATGTAACGTGTAACAAGGATACTGTGAAATAAAGTGTTACCATTAATGAATTTCTCCTCTGAGTTCTAGCTCCTAAGAAGGATTTGTCTGCCAATCATTAAACTGGTTTGGACCCAGTACCTTACAGTATGTGCTTGTGTTTTATTTCATTGTCTGCCAACCCATCTAATATAAACAGTCAGACATAATGAAACATGAATATCCAAAACTGTGCAGATGTTTATGCACTCTTTTCCAGAAATCCTGAATTTTTTTGTACAAAACCAAAGAGCAGGAGCTAAATCTCCATCCTCAGCCTGACATCTCCAGCCATATGGTGTATATTTTAACCCAAGCCTAAACAGTTTGGAAGGAGTTCAGCATCATCTTAAACTGTAAAAGGCGTACTCTTGTTTCCCACATTTCTTAAGAGCTAATAAAGCTCCATCACTTTGAATTAACCAGGAGTAAGTGCACTGATGCTTCATGACCCTTCCCATATACCAGAATTACCAAACAATGCGTCTACTGACCCAGGAAGCTAAGGTAGTGCAAAGTAAATATCGTAACTGTAAATCCCTAAAAAACTGAGATGCAGATATACCATACTGCTGTCAAAAGTGTTCGAATGACTTCAGACTACCATTTTCATAAAGGTCGCTTAATATAATGATGCCTGTCTTTACCCATTCTTTCCATAGAAAGGGGACTTTATTAATAGGCTTACACAATTTAAGGTTCAACCATATTGAACAAGCATTTAAAGGAACACTCCGACTTTTTGGGACTTTAGCCTATTCACCTTATCCCCCAGAGTTAGAAAAGTCCATACATACCTTTTTCATCTCCGTGCGTGCTATAAGTCTGTTTGACGCACCCACCGCTAGCCTAGCTTAGCACAAAGACTGGATGTAAATGGTTGCAGCTAGCATACTAATCCAAATAAGTGACAAAATAACGCAAACATGTTTCTATTTACATGTTGTGATTTGTATAGTCACAGAGTGTACAAAAAAACAAAGTCACATGAGACACAGACATATTTTAACCGTATAAATACTGGGAACTCTATTCTCTGAAGGCGACTATATTCTCTGAAGGCGAAGCACTGCTACTTGGGCGGAGTGATAACCGCAGCACCTGAGACGCGCTCTCTGCTCCTCACCACGGCGCGTCTCAGGTGCTGCGGTTATCACTCCGCCCAAGTAGCAGTGCTTCGCCTTCAGAGAATATAGTTCCCAATATTTGATACGGTTAAAATATGTCTGTGTCTCATGTGACTTTGTTTTTTGTACACTCTGTGACTATACAAATCACAACATGTAAATAGGAAAATGTTTGCGCTATTTTGTCACTTATTTGGATTAGTATGCTAGCTGCAACCATTTACATCCAGTCTTTGTACTAAGCTAGGCTAGCGGTGGGTGCATCAGATAGAGTTACAGCACGCACGGAGATGAAAAAGGTATGGACCTATCTAACTCTGGGGGATAAGGTGAATAGGCTAAAGTTTCAAAAAGTCGGAGTGTTCCTTTAAGTAAGCTACACAGATGAGAAATCTTTAACCATACTGCATGTCTCCCTGTCTCCAGCGTCTTTCTTCCCTTTGTGTTTCCACCAAGATCACCCTTTGGACTCCACCCTGCTCACCTCATCCCTCATCACCATTCACCAGCCATCTTCCTCTCCTGTGTCTGCATTACCGTAACAGAAGACAGGACCGCCCAAATGGATGAACGGGCAAAGTTCATCTCCTTGGCTCAGGAGAGCTGCGATCTTGCAGGGTTCTCAAGGGAGTTCTTCCGGCTCGCTGTCACCAGCTCCCTCGATTGCAACACCCTTAAGACCCTGTTCTGGATCGGTTCAACTTTTAACCACCCTATTGACCTCCCAGACACCACAGGGCTGGACTGGAAAGAACCCTTAGTTCGGTGTCTGGTGAGTGTCGCATCCCGGAACCAACCCCATCTCCAAGCCCGTTCCAGAGCCTCATCCCAAGATGGCCGCCACCATTCCAGAGCCTCGTCCCAAGATCTGTCACAGATCACCCTAGTCACCATCCTCTTCACTACACTTCCCAGCATCCATCCTGGTCCCCAGCTGCACGTCATTTCCAATCACACCTGCACCTTATCATCACCCTCATCACTGCCTCTACTTAAAGTCCCACTCCGATCATATTTTTAGCTATTTTAAAACATTCCCAGTGGTCTTTAAATTATGATTATGCCATTTTTAGCCAAAATCACAAAACCTGTGCCGTTTTCTGGGACTTCGCTTCAGCAGAGCGGCAGTAGCTCATTAGCAATTCGCCTCTGCGTTGTGGGCGGAGCCGTTGGCACGGAGACGACCCTCCCCCTGCCCGTTGCTGAGAGCTCTGTCTCTCCCGCTAGCTTACACCCCCAATACCGGTGGGGCAACAGTATTATATACACGTTAATTATTATTATCCGAAGTTAATCAAAGTTATCACCGATCACCGATCATTATTTCACTCCAAGACGTAGCGTGTGGAGACGCCCAGTGGAGTTACTACGTCACAACTCCAGTCGATTATAGCCTGCATTTTAGCGTCTGCTACTGATTCACAGCCATTTGAATGTAGAAATACTCAGAAATACAACTTTGAGCTTATTTTTCTCAAGATATGTCCTCTAACATCAGAAAAATGCCACAAGAACATGTTAACACCTAGAAAAACATTATTTTCATCAGATTGGGTCTTTAAGCACACACTTCACCACAGCTGTCTCGTTAATGCCATGTGGATTATTCCCCCTGTCTCCAGCGATCTCTCTTGTCTCCATCATCTTCCATTCCTCGGTGTCTCCCCGAAGATCACCCTTTGGACTCCAACTTACCTGTTCACCTCATCACTGTCCCTCAATTGTTCAATAAACTCACTATTCAGTGTATGCATTCCGTAACAGCATGCAAGTGTGAAATAACAGGACGTTTTCACCTCTCCAAGTTTAATGGACAGACTCTGCAAAATTGAAATCGCATACCAAGGGAGAGCTCACTCAGGAGGAAGAGACAAATGAGACTGGTGTCTAAGATCGAAAGCATAATAAAACAACAAAACATTAGGCAGGCCTAGACTACCTTTCTCAACAGGTGTCTGTAACTTATTAGAAAGCATCCGAAGTCGCTTGCCATTCCAAATAAAAGCCTTACATATTCTGTCAAACTGTTTCAAATAGGAAAGTGGTATTTGAATTGGGGGAGACTGTAATAAATAATTCAGTTTGGGCAGACAACTCACTTTAATTACATTGACTTTTCCATTGACATTAGAAGTGGAGCCCATCTATCCATATCACAGGAAATCTTTTTCATTAAGGGGTCAAAATTCAAATTCAAATTCAAATTTGGGGGAAATGCCTAAATAATCGAATGCCTGACTTGGGCCATTGATGAAACGTGCCAGGAATGTAAAGCTGCGACAGGGCAAAAAGTACAAGAGCTTTTGATTTATTTTAGACCAATTTACTCTAAGCTAAAAATGAGAAAACGTCAATTGTTCTAAGGAGGCAAGGTATAGACCTGCCAGGGTCAGAAACATATAGCTTATGTATTTCTCCCCGACTACGATAGCAGGAAAAACATCATCTTTTCTATACAGTGACCTGTACATGTTTTTGACAGGTTTCATAAGATTCACCCGCATGTATTGATGCTGTGTAAGGAGTCAATGTAGCACTATAACTGCTGGGATTGATCACTGAAATCAACTTAAGTGCCATCTGCCAAGCTTTTATCTCTGAGCTTAAGTGAGAGAACGTCCAGTCCTGTCGATCTACACTGCCGAGGGTGACTAGTAACACACGTCTTTAATTCCCTTTGACAAGGGATTATGATACCATTACCAAGACTCTTTCTTGCTCTATTTTTTCCTGTCTGAATAGTACACAATTGACTCTTCACTAAACCCCATTTAAAAATATATATATTCATCAGTCTTACTTAAAGGCACACTGTGGAACTTTTCAACCTTTATAATATATTACCAAAACCCATTGAGATGGTACATCGACTTACAATAGGTTGAATGACACGTCTGCCGTAGCCTGAAGGTGTCTGTATCGCTTTTCCTAGCACTATGTAACTTCGGG